GAGAGAGAGAGAGAGAGAGAGAGAGGGTAGCGAAGGAAAGGAGAGACGGCGAAGACGGAGAGATAGGGAGACGTCCAGGCACAGAAACGGTAGAGAAGAATGCGACGAATCGGAGTATCGAGCGAGATAGTTGTGAGACCAACCACGGGAAAAGAAAGGAAAGGAAGGAAGGAAAAGGGAGAGAACGAGACGTGACGTGGACGGAGGAAAGATCGAGAGAGAGAGGAGTCCGGTTCGACTACGAGAGCGTGCTTTACACGCTGATGCGTCCGAACACGTCGAGGCGGACAAGCAGAAAGAAGCGAAAGTGGCGAAGAAAAAGGTGGAGGAGGAGAAGGAAGGAGAAGGGGGTAGCGGCAGTGGTGGTTGCGACGAAGGGGAAGGTGGCGAAGTAAAGGGCGACAGGCAAAGGGCAGGGGAAGGAGGCGGGAGAGGGAGAAAGGGAGGGAGTGAGGGAGGGAGGGAGAGAGAGACAAGGGAGAAGGGTTAGTAGCTCTTGTAACGCTATCAACCCTGTCGCTGTACATCACGTCGACACCATCCTAGTCGACTCATTTCAGTCCGCAAGAGTAGTAGGAGTTGGCTTCTGCGCCATTACTTCGCTCGCCCGGGTCCTACGTGTACACGCAAACACCGGCAAAGAGGTACACGCAGGTTGCACGCGAGGCTGGCCAGAAAGAGAGAAAAAGAGGGAGAGAAACTCTCTACCTTTGGTAGAACGTGCGTCCTGCGAGCATATTTCCTCGAGGACGCGGACTGATTACGCGAGGCAAAAATCTCACGGTCGTCGCTAATGCCACGAGAGGAATTTACTCTCTTTTGCGAGCGGGTAATTGCGCTGATTACACCGTTGAGCAGATCGAACCGTCGGGGCCGATCGATCGAATATTTTCTCGGCCGCGACTCTCTACGCGCGGCGCCGACTTCCGTTACCAACGTCAACGTTGCCTGGTCACGTTACAGTTCGATTCGACGTGTCGGGACGACGACGACGACGACGATGACGACGACGACGAAGAAGAAGAAGAAAAAGAAGAAGAAGAAGAAGAAAAAGAAGAGAAAGACTCAGCTCGATTCGAGGAACCTCTCGAAGAAAGTTGAACGAACGAAGAAACAAGAACGGGGGAACAACGTGCTCTCCTAGGTTGGGAAGATCGGCGGGCAGTGGCCCGGTGTCTCGGGACGAATTCGGCGGGTGCCGAGACGTGCGAGAACGTCTGTTTCTCGTGGGATATCTCCCGGCCATTTCCGTTTAATTGATCGTCCTGAAACGTTGGCACGTATATGTGCTCGGTGGATCGAAGACGATACCGGGACGGCGGTTTCAATGGTCAGTGGACGAGCCAATTAGCTCCGTCCCAATGCTCAGGTACGCTCTTCTCCCTCGGTCTTCTTCCCCCCCCCCCGACGTCACTCTCCTCTCTCACTCTCTCTCTCTCTTTCTCTCTC